TTGAATTGCGAGAGACTTTTTTCTGCCAATCTACGACTTTTTAGAGCATTTTGAACACTTTTTCGCCTCATCAATTCTTTAGCTGTAGTAAATCTCCCATTTTTTGAACGTGAAGACATTTTGCATACAAGTAGAAGTTCAGAAAAGTACGTACAAAACCTCACAAACACATAACAAGAGCGGTCGCCTTCTTTGTTTTGCGTGATGCAATTTCGTGACAACTTCCGGTTTTTGCGTGCGCAGAAAGCGTGCGCAGTAGCAATGCCCTCGAACGTCCTTAAGCGCCGTCTTTATCGCCAAACACCTCCCAACAACAATGGGCGAGGACATCCTTTACTTTTGGATTATCTAACGAATTATTTTAAAAAACACGACCGCATTGAATGCCGGTTGTCCATGGCCCTTTACATCACAAAAAGGCAAGAATAGGAAGTTACCTGTGACGTAACACTTATTTCTATTGATCACTGATTCGTTCTGAGTTGGTAGGCATACTGTATTGACTGTCTTGGTTAATAGGGCTGGTTTTGACAGCTTTAGAAGTGCGATGTCATGGTCTTTGTGAACTCCACCAACGTACCCATGATGCATCACAATCTTACTTACGCCATGTTTCACACCTTCGCCAACACGTTTGTGCGCACCTTTGGAAAATTTGCACATTTCTYAAATTAGTTTTAAGTTATCAAAATTACATCATACTTATATGAATTTGATTTAGACTGCGTTCGAAACATACACTCACTTTGACTCTGAACGCGCAGACTCGCTTAGCTTATATACATGTACATTGGAAGTAAAGCAGATTAATATAATGAAACCTTCTTTTATAGTTTTTTTATAGTTTTAGTTTTCATAGATTTACTGCGAGATAATTAAGTGCGCATTCGTCATGCAGGATGTAARCTGACAATAGCTAAACGCATATATCTCGCTACCTCTAAATAACATTCCAACATACGAAAATAATGTATAAAAGAAAAATCGTTACTTTAATTGTAAATCTTTCACATACCAGCAATAAGTTCATATTCCTTGGTGTTATTGTTCTTATTAACACAGTGCGCGGCCGTTAAGGCCCATGAAGGACTTATTAGCGAAGCACCACAACGATGATGTCCCGTGCGCCTCAAAGACAGCTGCCATGGCCATGAGTGAGGTACAGCGGTTTTCCCGCCAACGATTCTTTGTCCATAGCTACGTTGTCCACAAGACGCTAGAAGAGAAAGAAAATGTTAAATTGGATATAGAACAGTACCAAAGTAGGGTGGGATGTGGCGTGTAGTCTGAACTTCCCTATTACCGGTGCGTAAACATTTGATGAGGAAGATCGACTAAAAATACATGAAAAAAWYATCTCGAAAAAATTTCACGAATTTGTTATCTCATATCAATTATGGTTTGAAARCGTCRCGTGCTATCTAGTAAGACTCGCTRAACCCCACTCCCTCGAGGAGGTCAGCTCGGGTAAACTGCAAGCATTATATTACTGTTTTAGGTTCGTTGTCATACTGCAAAAGTGCACTTATAATAGAATAAACTATAACATTATTTCTGATCAATTGAAAAYTTGGAAATTTCGGACTTTTCTTTGGACTTTTTTTTGTCGGACTGCAAGAGAAATGACCTCGTTAAACGTTTTGAAAAATACGGCTTCAGCTTGCACTTGTTAAATCTTAGTTAACATTCTCAAATTAATAAAATAAAGTCTTTTATTTTGAGAGGGTAGCACGTAATAGTCTCTAGACTAATAAACTTGTGGCCCTCTATATATTCACTCATACTCACTACCTCAACATTCATTATTTTACTACACGACACTCCTCACAGCTAGTTTTTGACTGAGGGAGGAAAACCAGCGGACCTGGAGAAAAACCCTCGGTGCAAGGAAGAGAACCAGCCTACAAACTCAAATCACATATAGTCCCGGACCGGGAATATCGAACCAGGACCACAGCGGTGATAGACCGGCGTTTTAACCGCTCGGCCATCYTTGCTCCCCAAGGATTCATTATCAACAATATCATCTCGTTAACTAGTTAACAATTCTAAATACAAGAAACTTTATGTTATGTTTTGGTCAAATAATTAATACTATAATTCAAGCCCGAAAATGTCAAACTTTAATACTGACAATCAATATTTGGCCTCCTTATAATTCTGTCAATCAGTCCCAATTCCATAATGGCAAGCTACAATGTTATGCAAATTAAACGGAACACCCTACCCCCTTTCCCCAGTGAAAGGTTGCCCACACGTTTCTTTCCTCATCCTTGTCGATTTTGCAAAAGGGGAGCAGAGGTTGCAATATATATAACACAATAATAGACGGCGTTTCAAAAAATTGTGGTTACGAGTTYATACTTCGTTATTGCTACAACCTTCGAAAGAACCTTGGGAAAATTCTAAAGTAGATTTCTATAGTGCTATAGAGTTTAGAAGAGTTTATTCTATCTCTAGCCGGCTTAACTTTGCATTATTTCCATTTTTCATGGATTTTTAACATTCTTTAATGAAATTAAATTGAAATTCTTTTATCGAATTCACTTATAATAATTCATAAGCGAAACCGACAATGGATGGATCACTGCCGTGACTGCATTTTATATGAGCAAAGAGACTTGTCCTTATTTTGTCCATCGGAACAACAAGAACCATTTCAATCTAATGATATTTCAGGTTAGCTCTCAAAACATGCAATATAAAAGGAGTTCTTGGATTATCAAAGTGAGGATATTGTTACGTGCGTGACACACTTTTAATATTATATGTTAATACAGATCAAATGACAGAAGATATGTCATTCTTCCGTGACCACCAAGCTTAATATAACATCCTCGCAGTCAATACACAATATTGAATATTAATAAGTAACCGAACGTCTTCTAAGTATGGATTGTTATGTTACCACCGTTATAGCTACAGCAGCCACAGGACTTGGGTTATATCTTGTTCTGCGTGTGTTATTGCGGGCTAAGAAGCCTGATATCTTCAATTTTGAGCCGTCTATTGATGACAATGGTCGATTGCAGAGRACSCTTGATATGTTTGAAAAAATGTACATGTCGATTATCGGTGACCTCAAGGACGGCTCTGGAAACGATGTCACTGTCCTAATTGTGAAGTCTAGCGTTTCACTGGAGCCTGCTATGGTGAAGAAAGCTTTGCTTTTGGTCCAGAAACGCTACCCTCTACTTCGCATGAGAGTAATTCGCAGCATGCCTATGATGTTCAAAGAGATGAAAGACCGTTTTAAGGTCGATTTCAAAACTATGAACTTCTATGATGCACAAGAATGGGTCCAAGCATTTGAAGAWGAAAGTCGTATTCCGTTTGACTTGGATCAAGGACCACTATGGCGAGTGTCGATGCTTAAAGAACACTTTGATGGAGACCATTTTGAGAATAGCTTGCTGTTTACTTTCAGTCATATCATATGCGATGGAACCTCCATTATGTCATTGTATAACACTTTCTTCCAGTATCTGRATGATCTACAAAAGGGAAATAWTGTTRACGTTGAAAGTATGGCTTTGATTCCTCCTCTARSTCACTTCATAGGTCATAAGCTTCACCCAAGTYTTTTGGAGAAGTGCCTCTTTAMAATKYTGCCAACTTTAATGAAGRTCAAAAGTATGTTCRTGAAACCAGCTCAAAAYGTCTATTTGGCRRCMTTCCCACCACCAATCTTGCAGAATCCATCAATCGTCAAGAGAACAAGCGTCATTCCAGTAGTTTTGAGGAAAGATGAGCTCTCACAACTGCTAATGCTCGGCAAGAAACATGGRTGCACGTTTCAYAGCGTTATTACTGCTGCAACTCGTCTTGCCATGGCACAAATCCTGAATACAGGCTCAGCAAAGTCAAAGTCTGACATAGTCAGCTTTGTGAATGGGTTTCCCATCTCTTCGAGAAATGACGCACAGCCTCCAATTTCGAAGGAAGAATTTGGACTCTTTGTTACTACACTACAAATGGATGTCCCCACTCCCTCTGTAGAAAAGATCAGCCCTCGAGATTTTTGGGACTTTGCGAAAGAATGCCATGCCATTATAAAGAAATTAGTTCAGACCGACGACCGTTTTAAGCTCTTGAAATTCGTCCTCGGAAATACTGATTTSGTTAAAGAACTACTGATATCTCTGGATGAACCCTCTAATTGTGGCCGTTATGATCACGCATTTAGCATCTCCAACAGAGGTCGCTTTGTCATTGGTGAGCCAACTGATGTTTTCCAGTTTGGTGGCACGTACTTTGCCATGGCTGAGCAAACTAGAGGACCGCCATTTTGTCATAATGTTGTGTCAGTGAACGGTGATTTGTACTGGGGATTGGTTTATTATCCCCATATTATCACCAAAGAACAATCACGACGCATTCTCGAACTGTCCTTGGATATTCTTAAAGTGGCTGCCTCATCTATGGACTGATATAGCGATGACTACAGTTGACTGTAAACTAAGCGACGCAGGCAGGATTAGAATTGTTTTGGTTTTTTGTAGTTTCTTTCTAGAAAAAAAGATAAAAATAAACAAACAAACAAACATAGAGGCTCCGAGGACAGTAGTTTAGAAGTCAGATGATAACTATGGATTGTGTAAAAGTAGATTTGCTTTGCCTTGCTGCCATTTTGTAAAGATAACTCTCTATCAAGGCATTATGGGACATATATTTCTGTTCCCACAATGCCTTTCAAGCATAATTCTATCGTTACTGTTTCACTGGGATAAGAAAGAAAGCCGAGTATGAGGCCTGTGTCTACATTAGGRGCCTGGAGACAGCATCGACACAGCACGAAGTACATCCACATTAAAGTGGGAGGGAATAAGTACTGGGGATTAAAAAAGTCTTGTTTACTGACTGCACGCATAATAATTAAAGACTTTAAGAATATGCTAAAACATGACAAGGAGCAACCTTGTCAGCTAACACCGTCAAGTCCTTTAATAACTTCGAGACAGTCAGTGGCGTTTGGACTGAATAAATTTGTCGAAGTCAACTTCAAGAGAAGATGACTCTAGTGTAGCATCGACCTAGATATAAGCCTGCGATCTAGAACAGGAGAGGGAACATATACACATCTCGGACCAGTAGCGGAGAAGATAAGAGTCCTACACTCACCAGATTAAAGATGTGATCCTGAAAGACTAGTAAGCTAGTGGGATTTGGATAGCGCTGAAATCAAGTCTGGATCTTCTGATAAACAAACTGGAAACCAGGTTAACTGCAGGTGTAGGTGACTATGGGTGTGACTGACACCTTGGTGACACGGTACTCGCCATTCAGAACAGGAAAGTTAAAAAAGCTGTTCAACCTCAATACAAACGCCCAAGATATTCCCAACAATGTACAGGGTGCACACCACACCGAATCTGACGTGGACTGGATGTAGCTCCCTTGGATCGAACGATGCAGGAACCTTATTCGAATAGAGCTCTCCTATAAGACCACAACTATCTATATTGATAAATACCTGCATGGAACAAAGAGCATCCTTCTAAAAAAACCTTCGTCCCATCACAACAGCAAATACTTGTATTTCACAGACAAGCTGTTTAGCAGTCTCTGTGACTGTGTAATACCACCTGCAAGTTGATAAGTAGAAGTATATAACGGTTACGTAGGTTCTTTCCTTTAAATTTTGCATTGAAAATTGTTTCTGTTGTTTATATGACCTTTTTGATCAAATTTATTAAAAATCTCACGGAATTTGCATTTGAATCGGGCTAGCTATTTTGGAAAATTGAGAAAGACATTATAACACTCCTGGTTCGATATTTCTAGTGCTTTTATTTGACGTTGTTACGCCAAGCCGCCAGAATAGAATATCGCGGTACGTGAATAAACAATTAGAATTGAACTGCACATTAATCAATTATTAAAAAAATCTAGTGAAAGGTGTTCTACGCCATAATTTACTTTCATATATAATTATATGATAGTTAGAATAGTACATCATAATCTTATCGTTTTTAAAATCTTTCACTCTTTCGCCTAAACCTGCACCTCCCCCCATCAAACAATGTTATGTGTGTGACGTAATGCTAGAAGGGCGTGCATGATTGTTCAGTCCTTTCAACATTGATTTGAGTTGAAAAGGGGGGATTTGCACAGAAATACGCAATAGTAAATCATCGAAATTCAACCTATTTCAAGAATTGTCTCAACTGTTTTGTTCTGGATTGTAGCCCGACTTCGCGCTCTAAGAGCGTCTAGTTAAAATTCATAATGGCCCGTCGTAGATGGATAAACTGATAACCTCATCTTCTTATAATAATAATTTTGCGCTAATTAACGTTTTGTCATGAAGACTTTATCTTTCAAAAACTCTCAGTTTGAATCCAATGCTGGTTCAAGACCTCTCCTTATAAAAAACGTGCTAATGTTCTTAGATCAGTATCGAAATTCAAAGGTTTGGATTGCGTGACTTGTTGAGAGTGCATTTTAAATCAATCTTCCATGACGACTAGCAGTACAGTACTTGTGCAGTTGATTTATATGTTAACTTTGTGTCCCAACGTATTCCTAAGTACCTGAGAGACTCGAATCCGCAATGGAGGTTTATTTTAGCATCATTATAGCTAGTGCAGCCATAGGACTTGGATTTTTTCTTGTTTTGCTAATGACGTTACTGAGAAATAATGAGACTAATACCTTCAATTTTGAACCGTCTATTGATGAAAGTGGGAGACTTCAGAGACCACTTTGCCGTGGGATTGAGAAACCGTGGCTCTCTTTGTCTGATTTGAAAGACGGCTCTGGAAACGTAGTCACTGTCCTTATTGTGAAATCTCGTGTTTCATTGGAGCCTGCTTTGGTGAAGAAAGCTTTCTTTTGATACAGAAACGTTATCCTCTACTTCGCATGAGAGTGCACAATACGCACAACGTGATGTTCAAGGAGATGCAAGACCGTTTTAAAATCGATTTCAAAAGCTTGGACGACTATGATGCGCGAGAATGGGTCCAAGCATTTGAAGAAGACAGTCGTATTCCGTTTGACTCGGATCAAGGACCACTATGGCGAGTGTCGATGCTTAAAGAATACTTTAATGGAGACCATTTTGATAATAGTTTATGGCGCGCCGTTTGTTTCAAAACTAAAATGTATCTCCATTAAACTTTTTCTTCCTTCAAATCGCAATTTTCCTCTTTTAGACAACAATTGAACCCATATAAAAACACAACAACTATACTAGTGTGTTGATTAAAACCCCATGAAACAATTATATTTCACCTGCACGAGTCATTGTATTACACACCGTGATGCAAATCTACCAACACGGATCACATTTACACCGCGATACATTTATTTCACCTTCATGGGTCAGTTTTACACCGTGATACAATTATTCTACCTTCATGGGTCAGTTTTACACCGTGATACAATTATTTCACCTTCATGAGTCAGTTTTACACCGTGATACAATTATTTCACCTTCAAGGGTCAGTTTTACAC